TTTTTGTATTTATTATTGTTTCGAATATTTTAGCAAAATTACATAAAATTGATATTGGTCGGTAGTTGACAATAAGCGAATTATCACCTCGTTTTAATACTGGTATGATTTTAGAAATCTTCCACATGTCTGGAAACAACCCAGATTTTAAAATTTTATTAAAAATAATCAAGAGGGGATTAGCCAGGGCTCCAGAGCAATCTCTAACAAAAAAACTTGGTATATTATCAAACCCAGATGTCATTTTATTTTTCAACTTTTTTATTGCCCTGTATATGTCTTCAACATCAATTGCGAATAAAGAGACGTGATTATTAGTAAATACAAAGTTGTTATCATTAAATGGAACCGAATCTATATAAACGCTATTAAAAAACTGCGCGAAACTATCAACTATTTCTTTAGGTTTATCGTATTCAATATTATTAAGATTAACTTTACTCGGAATTCGGGATTGTCCTTTTTTTGAATTGACAAATGACCAGAACGATGCAGGATCATTTTGTAAATACACAAGTTGTGGCTTTATGGCGCTTTAGTCACGGGCTAGTTAGTTTTAAGTTAGTTGACAGTTGACAAAAATACAAAAGTATTAAATAGGTAGTTTATCAACGCCAATATTTGAAAAGTTTATATGAACATTGTACTGACCTTTTAATTTCGCCGGCAGTAAACTATAACTTAAATTCGGGCACGGACTTCACTGTAAAGTGCTCATAAAGCATTTTCTTTACTTTCACTGTGAAAAACTGTCAATTTTCAAGAAATACATTTCGATTTATAACCTTTATAATCTGTGTTTATAAAATTTGACATTTGACGAAGACACACAGATTCCCCTACTGTTTCATAGAAATAAGTATTTGTCGTAGAAAAAAATATAGTATGCACCTCGTTTATAAACTTTTCTATACACTCATTAATTTAAGCACTCGCTCGCAAGCTCGCTCGTGCCTAAATTAAATTCGTGTATAAAATGGCCTTTATCAAACTTGATACATAATATACTATTATGCACTACATAGGTATGATGGAAAAAATAATTTTAACATCGCATGTAATGTAAAAATTCATTAATGCACTACATGCGATGGAAAAAATAATTTTTACATGACATGTGATGTACAAATGCATTTATGCACTGCATTTGATGGATAAAATATTTTTTACATCATATGTGACGGAAAAAATAATTTTTACTTTTACTACTAATCGCCGACGGTGGTCTAGTGGTTAGTGCTGCTGACTACAAGCCGGAGGTCGTGGGTTTGAATCCCACCAGGGGTATGGCTGTTTATTTGTGTTGTCCTATTGTGTAATAGTCCTTCGGAGGGGACTTTAAGCCCGCGGTCCGTTCCTACCCCTAACCCGCACAAGCCATTTAGTTGGCTTATTATTCTTAAGAAGTAAGGGTGGAACTAAAAGAGCACTTTTTTAGTATGTGATGTAAAAATTCATTTATGCACTACATGTGGGGCAAAAAATAATATTTACATCACATGTCAAGTAAAAATTAATTTTCCTGCAAAAAATTCCTTGGTAATTAAATTAATTATTTTTACAGCTGCATACATTTATTTTTACAACACTCTTTCAAATGCATTGAGTAAAGTAATTGGGATTGAATAAAATCATTTATTTATCAGTGAAGGTGCTGTACAAATTATTTTTCTTCGTAACTAAAATGAAAAATTATTGTGTAAATATTTCTTATAAAAATCGCTTAAATTTTTTCGTTATAAGTCTGATGTAAAAAATAATTAAATATTTGTTTAGAGTATTAAATAGTGAAGCCACAAAGTAAAAAAATATTTATCTTCAGCATTTTTACAGAATTAAACATTACATGAGTCTTTAGGCATTAACGTATTTTATGTACCACTCAATAGGATGAGAATTAAAAATAATATTTTGCACAGAAAAAATATACTTTTCAATAATTGCAATTATTTAAGTTACTAATTTTAACATGCATATTAAATACCAAAAAGGCGTGCTATATAATACCATAAATGAATATAAAATTTAAATAATGTATCTTTATTATTAGAGAAAATGTAAGAAATGTAAGACGCTGCCTATCAAAAAGGAGCAAAATTTGGAGACCTTCTTAATTAAAATAACTACTACTAAAATCTGGTATATTTGATAAACAGTATGTCCCTGGATTGAATAACCAAATACTAAAATACATGCTCATACAAACCTGATTATATTTAAAAAAAAGGTGATTGTTGTATTGGTGAAAGTAGCAGGCCATATTGCTGTTACATGTTTAGTGTGTGTGAGAACCCAGACAGTCAAGATTTGAACCTATTAACCCCTAAAAGAGAAAAACATTAAGTATATGTCAAAAACAAATTTTAAAAAGTAGACTTTGGTTGTCCACTTTGCTTTTGTTGTACATGTATTTACCAAACAACCTGTATATTTTATTGTATGAGTATTGTATTGACCCACTGTTTCATAGTATTTAGTAAATACTATTTACTTCTATTGCCATAAAAATTAAATTTTAAATAAGTTGGTAGTTACATGAGTACAAGATAATAGTAACATCACCAAACATAACAATTATTGTGGATGTACCTTATTTATAATCAAAGAAAAAACACAACATATTTATATAATATATGAAGGGGTAAGAAGCAAAAGGGTACAAGTGCAAAAAACAGAAGTGGAGTATTAACTAAAGTTTCTGCTATATAGAAAAATCTGGATACTTGTTTCAATATTGTTGTTTGCATTAATCAATATGCAATCGTACAATTTTCATGTTTTCAGAAAATTAAAAAAAAAATGGACTACCCATTCTGCACTTAACTTATTTTCATGCTAAAATGCACTTCACAGAACACTTGTACCCTTTTGATTCTGACCCCTTCAACATATGTTTTGTGATATATAAGGAATCCACATAGACACAACATATAATTTAAAATTTACACATAAAACCGGCTGATTTAAGTTGACGTTTTAAAGACGCCATAACAAATATAATAGCACGCCTGTTTCACACGAAATACACTGTTGCCAAGTATGTAACACAACTAAAAATGTTAGAATTAAATAAGAATGGACATTAAAAGAGAATTTCAATATAAATAAACAAAGCATGCCTTTGCACCGAATTCCTTTGGATATAAATCACTTTTCATCTAAAATCATTTGCATTAAAAAGCCGCACTATAGAGTCTGCGTGGCGAACCTAAAGCTTAATTTATAGATTGCCTTCCTTCCTTCCTCCCTTTCTTCCGTAAAAGATGAACAATACAAAAACCGTAGTGCTGTTTATAGATTACCGTACGGCGATCTATAAACAGCACTACGGTTTTCGTATTGTTCATCTTTTACGGGAGGAAGGAAGGATGGCTATTTATAAATCAGGCTTTACTTTGCACATTTCCATAATGTACATTTGGCAACGTTGCATTCCTTCCTTGATTTATTTATAGTCCATTCCATTTAAGAAAAAAGCATTGAGTTGAATAGGATTTATTATAGACCAATCACGACGCTTAAAATTGTGGCTTTTTTTACACAGGCGAAAATTTATAACCCATCTCTTTTTAATACGTTGGATGTTGTATAACGTAGTTCTGCAGTGGGATTCTGTAAGCACATAGAGCATAGAAATAAATTTCTTTCTATATTTATTACCAAATCGCTATTCTGTAAGTCACTTCGTGCGTTTCCGTGAACCATCGTTCGTAGCCGAACGGAGAGAAATAGAAAGAGGGTTTTTGACATTTCCAACATAAATAAGCAACTTTTAAAGGTTATATTTTAATTCTTTCGGTATACGTAAGCAAAACAAAGTATTTTAGTATATAAAAAAAGTATGTAGGTAAGTATATACTATACTAACTATTCAATTCAATTATTTATTTCGTGTTAAGTTACACATGTCAATAGATATAAAAATTACATAAATAGTTATTAAATTTAAAAAAACATCACATCATTTTTTTAAGCAATATATATTATATGAAATAATTAGCAAATAAAATAATAATAATAGCTATTATTATTAAAGGATAAAATATTATTGATCATTTCAGTTTGTTTCTTGACGATGTAACGTTAGTCCAATTCATTGTTCATTGAAATATAAATTAACAATTGCATTTCGCGAACGGACTCATGCATCCCCTTAGATGATCCAATTGTTGGTGAGCACAATGTTCTAAATGAAGAAGTCCGTTCGCGAAATGCAATTGTTAATTTATATTTCAATGAACAATGAATTGGACTAACGTTACGGCATGCCGTTTCGTACACAAATATTGTGCAGCACAACACATGCATTTATTATGCCACAAACCTGCGGACTGTATCTCGATTTCCACAGATCTATGCAACTTTCAACACAGTTACGAGAATGGTTAAAAAAAAGATTTATAAACAATCACAAAATAAGTATTATAACCATAGAATAAATATTATTATTTTTAGGTTAAAACCATTTTTTAGTACCTTAAACTTAAAAACGAAAAATTACTATGTGAAATTGGTACAAATCTTAGGGATTTTTAAAAAGTTACTAGAATATGAATGTTTTTAACATAGGTAGTACAGTAAATTTCTTTCAGTCGAACATTACCGATCTAAAAACCGAACACCGTCGGCCAAGAAAGAAATCGTCATACAGAATAGGTTGTAAAAAGGAAATGTCTTTCTATTTCTTTGCTATCTCTATTTCCATTTCTATTTCTTTTATTTACAGAATCCCACTGCTGATACACTTAATATTTTCTTATACAGCGTTGCCATGGCTTATAAAAACAAATTTACAAACTGACATAATAATATTATACAATAAACCAGCAAGAGTTCTTATAATATTTAAATTATAAAACTATATTATATTAGCTTTTGTCGTCAATTTGTCAAAAATATTTTAATTATAGAAAGAATTTATCTTTTCAAAAGGTTGGATTTATCGCACATTGGCAACGTAGCATTCAATTCGATTGCATAGATTGCAGGTCAATGACCTGAGGTCATAGAGTCTATGTTGCAGGTGTTATACAAAGTGTATATTTTGTTAATTTATTACATGTTTTGTGATTTTTTGGCTTTATTTAACGTATTAACCGTTGTTAATAAAAAACAGGCAAGTTTAAAATCGCTTAACATAACCAAAGAAAAATATATTTTTTTGAGAGACAATATTGATAATATGGACAATATAAACAATGAGGACAATGTGGAAAACCAACCCTCTGTCCTAAAAAACAAATCTGGCCAATATATAGGACGAGGTCAAAGAATAATACTTTTTAATATGGTAAAAAAACATATTAATGAAGGAACGTCAAAAAATGCCAGTGTAATATTAACATCTGAAGAAACTGGTATTTTAAAAAGTACCATTTGGTCTACCATCAAACAAATGGAACATGACAGAAAGGCTACATCCCCATTAAAGAAAAGAAAGCGGGCAAGTCAATACGACAAATTGAGTGAGGAACAAAAGAAGTGCCTAAGAAAAGTTGTTCATAACTTTTTTATAAATAATGAAATACCAAATTTAAGTAAAATTTATCAAGTAAGTAATTATGTTATTGAAATATGTTTAATAATTGATTAGAAAAATTTTCCCTTAATGTAAATAATAAATAAAATAGGGGGTAGGTGTACCAGGTGTTGTCAAATAATAAAAATGGGTTTTGCTTTAAATAAATAGGTTTTTATTATTAAAACAAACGTTTTGTGTATAAACTAATTGTTTTTCCTTTTTTTTAGTCTGTAAAGGATGATGATAACTTACCACCAATTTCTCGGACAAATTTATGGAAAAAAACTTGGCTTCAAGTATGAAAAAAGGGGTAGGAATGATTTACTGGTTGAAAAAAGTGAAATAGTAATTTGGAGAAGAAAATATATTGATATCAGGAGTTACCGATTACAGGATCAAAAAATATATTCTAAGGGAATATTAATTATTACGAATGATGTATTAAATTTAAATTCTATAACCAAGTTGAAATTGGGAGGTCATTTTGACGTGATTCGTCTCTGTAAAATTTTGTTTTTTTAATAAAACCTTCATTAATTAAATTTGTATTTTATTTAAGCCTTACTTTAGAAAATAGATTTAATTTTTTAACTTTTTTCAGGGACTTCATGATAGTTATCTAAGTTGTTTAAAATGAATGTAAAAAAATCCAAATTTTTAAAATATCTATTTTATTTTCTTGATATCAGTTAATTTAGTTAACCCAAATTTCATTATACGTTAAAATATAAATGGATATCCATCATATGAATAGATAATAGATTAATTAATTTCATTCGATCAATTTAATTAAATATTCCTTTTCAAATAATGTTGGAATAGCAATCGCTTATAACGAACCGTAATAAACCATGAACGATGGTTCGCTGTTAGTTATTTTGTAAAAAATTAACAAATTTCATATAGGCCTTTGGTTCGTAGATATTATTCTACTTGGTTCGTTTTAACCGAAAGTTCGCTTTACCGGGTTTCAAATCCATGGATGTATTCCAACACTCAAACAAAAAAATAATTTTCTCGATTTTTATGTAAGAATGTCATATTCTCGCACGCAAAATCGTTGAAGAATGAAGCTCATTCTTAAACGATTTTTGGTAACATTTAGTTTTTAAGTATTGGTACCCCCAAAATGTCAAACTGATTAATAACCTCAAATTCATTACTTTTATTGAAAATGAAGCCTTTATTATTGTTTTGTAATATAAAGTTTGCTCCAACAATGCATTTTAATGCAAAATTTTAAGTTTAATGTGTAAAAGTGCAGTTCAGGTTGTACTTGTGCAGGATAACAAATATTGTCATTTTGTGTTGCCAACTGACATTTTGCGAGAAAAATCCCCTAACTAACAACGACCACAAAACAATTAAAAAAACCCTCGAAAAAACTTAAATAAAAGTTAAAATCGAGAAAATAGTATAAATCACACGTTGCAGAAGGCTATTCTCGCACTCATTCGTTCGTCCACTCGCTCCTTCGTCGCTCGAGGCCAAATTTCGAATTCGTGCGAGAATATGTGGCCTTCTGCAACTTGTACTTTAATATACTATTTCCTGTTCATTTACCATTTAATTTTTCTTACATGTTTAATAAAACTCGGTCTATTTGTTAATTACTAAATTTTTATATTATAAAATCATAAAAATTTATTAAACCATTAAAATATGTACTATTTTAAGCCCGTATTACAGCTTGCAATTTTCCTTGCAGCAATCTTTCTTGCAGCAATTTTTCTTGCATGCAAGTTTTATTGCTGACTGTAAAACACTTTGCAATTCCAATTTTAACTTGCATGATACCAACCGAAGAAAAACATAAAAATCTGTGAGGTTATGTTCACAGAACATAAGGTTATGTTAAAATAGTGTATTGTTGTTTGTTATACGTTAAAATGAATTCAAGAAAAAAGCAACAAGCTGCCGTTATTTGTGTGATTCTCGCTGCCGCTGCTTTATTATCGAGAGACACTCCAGAAAGAAGGCCCAGAAAATGGTGGGTGAGGCCTTGGTTAGATAGGAGTAGAGGCAACATTAATTTGGTCCAGGAATTATTAACCTCTGATGTTGAGAAATATAGAAATTATTTACGTATGGATAGCCATAGCTTTGAAAAACTGTTATCAAAAATTTCTCATAGAATAACAAAGGAAAGTATTTTTCGCGAAACTATCCCGGCCCGTTATAAATTAATAATAACATTAAGATATCTGGCCACAGGGGAAAGTTTTCGTAGTCTTATGTACAATTACCGCATATCTGAGAGCACAATTTCCCTGTTTATACCCATAGTCTGTCAAGCAATTTATGATGAATTGAAAAATGAATACATGAAGGTATGTAATGCATATAAACATCAGCCCTTTAGGCAAACCAATGATGTTTTTAATTATTTTTTACTAAGAGAAATTTTGTATCTTAATTATAATAGGTTTTATATAATAAACAAAGTCTGATTTTATATTAAACTTATCAAAATTAAATCAAACCTATAAAAAATAATGTAGGTATAATTACCTAAAAAGTGTAAGTACCTGTAATTATTTAAATTAATATAAATAGTAATTTAAAAATTCCTAAAAATATAAAACTCCTATTACTTAAATATACATTATCTTTATGTTTTTAGTGTCCTACAACTGCAGCTGAATGGTTGGAAATTTCCAGGAATTTTGAATATTTGTGGAATGCACCCAATGTTATAGGAGCGCTGGATGGGAAGCATATTTGCATTAAAGCACCAACTGAGCAAGGATCTGCTTTTTTTAATTATAAAAAAACACATAGCATTGTTTTACTGGCACTTGTGGATGCAACATATAAATTTACTTATGTTAATGTGGGAATAAATGGAAGAATCTCTGATGGTGGTGTTTTTTGGGAAAGTGATTTGGCAAGAGCTCTTGAAAAAAATAAACTAAATGTGCCTGAGGAGAAACCACTACCAGGAAGAGTTAAATCAGTGCCCCATGTAATAGTTGCCGATGCTGCTTTTAGTTTATCTTCCTATATTTTAAAACCATATCCATTAAGGAATATGACAAAGGAGCAAAGAGTTTTTAACTACAGGTTAAGCCGGGCTCGGCGTGTAGTTGAAAATGCTTTTGGTATATTGGCTAATCGTTTTAGGGTTTTATTAAACATAATTCCATTAAAGCCTGTAAAGGCAACAATAATAACGCAAGCGTGCTGCGCTCTTCATAATTTCTTGAGCACCGAAAATAAAAATTTATATTTGGGACAAAATCCTGAAGAGGAGATTGACCAAAGATATAGGTTTATTTTCGGCCTAACCAGGCGAAATTGCGGTAGGCCAAGAAATGAAGCTCTGGCAATTAGAGAAGAATTTAAGGAATATTTTAATGGGTGTGGTAGGGTTCCTTGGCAAGAGGCTTCAATTTAATGTACATGTACAAGTTTATATTAATTATTTCTAGGATAGAATATGATAATTTTTTTAAATTTAGTTTTGATTTGTATCATAATATGATATATATTATATTTGATTTATATAATTTATTTTTGATTTATACCATTTAAATTTGTAGGATTAGGGTGTCTGATATTTACCAAGTTGATTTATTTTCCAACAGCACCTCCTAAATGTTTAGTTTTTACACTGAACAAATTATAAAACAAAACAAAAAAATTAAACCTTGCCAAAAACATGATGCACTTCTCTAATTTTTTTTACTTTTAAAATTTAATTTTTTTATATTGAACAAATAAATATGGATAGAAAACTCACAAGTTATTTAAATGGAAAATGTATTGTTTGTATGGCAAGGTTTAATATAAATATTATGAACTCTTTTTGGCTATATAAAAAAATTTAAGGTGTGCTGTTTGATAAAAATCAACTTGGTAAATAATGGACACCCTAATGTAGGTAGGTTATTCATAAAATATATAGTCATTAAATAATAAAAATATATTTATATTATTTAAATATAATTTGTTTTAACTTTAATAAGTATTTTCTTTATTTCTTTCTCTTTGCTTTCTTTTGCCGTCAAAAATAAACTGAATTATGCCTTCCTTTATTTCATCCAGGATATCTTCGTCCTGGATGCTGTTTAGTTCTTCTGCTACATAACTGAAATAAATTTTAAAAAAATAATTATTTAAGTTACAAAAAAATATGGGTCATTCCACGCCAAATCGAACCTTTGAAATTTTTATGTTATACAACCACTAAAAACGTTTCTTTAAATTTTATATATTTTTTTCATTGCTTAAAAAAATTACTTAAAAAAATACTGATTTTTTATAAAACATATTTTTTTTTTAAATTGACTATTAAATTGTTTTTTTTTTAATTTTTTGTTTTTAAACGTATTTTTTTTTTAAATTCAAACAAAACATTTAAAGTTGGGTATATTCTAAAAAATTGTATCAAATACACTTTGAATTTTGTTTGTATTTTTTTCTGGAAAGTACATTTAAAAAAAAATTGGTTGGTTTTTAAAAAAGTTATAAGCATTTTAGAAAAATCAAGCATTTTTTAAAAAAATCACAACTTTTTTGGTTGGATAAAAATGTACAGAAGCTTCTTTAGTGGGGTATATAAATGTTTAAATATTTATATATTTTATCAAAAGGGGTCGGGTTTAAAAGTGGTCAACTTGGTGTGGAATGCCCCATATGTAACCCCTGCCAAATTAGTAAATATTAAGGAGCCTAAACAAGGAGTTCTGTTGGTTGTTTGGTTTGTACCATAGAAAAAGTACTGAAACAGCAGTTTGTACTAAATGAAAATCAGCGCCGCTAGTGGTAAAAATAGAAAACCGAATTTGTGTGATTTAGTGGGCAGCTTTTGCCAATTTCCTCTATTAAGTTTGTACTCCTTGGGTAAGCTCCATGATTAATATTATAATATAAATTACCTTCCAAAGGCACTTTGTGGAGATACTGTAGTAATAGTAGGGTCATTTTTATTGATATTGTCAAGGGCTGTCACTGCATGAGTTAACAGCCCACTGATATCTTCAGAATCCCCCCGCTTCCTTTTTTTGGTACGTCGATCTACTTTGGGTGTATAAGAACTCCCTGACCTACTACTACTCGCTCTTTCAGGAGGTGAAAAAATATTGCTTTCAGGTAGATCCTCAACATCTCCATCGAATACAATTTCACTGTCGGACTGAAATAAAAAGTATTATTTATTATATATATTTAATTAGCATTAATTGCAATTATTCTAAAATTATACATAAATTAAATTTACACTCACCTCATACTCTACCAAATCTGAGTTACTGCAAGTTTGTAAGGGAATTGTCAAATTAGATTCCCCTGTACTAACTAATTCTGATCCTTGTTGCAGAAAACCTAATTGGTCAAAACACCACAGTTTTGGTTTATAAATCTCATCTAGTGAAGCTCCCGAAACTTCACTTTTCTTAATTTTCTGCCGCTCAGACAAAAACTGAGTTCTCACACCGTGAATTTTTTTCTTTAATTCATCTGCAGTAACATCTGT